CTTGATGTGACTGCGTGTGTGTGTGTGTGTGTGTGTGTGTGTGTGTGTGTGTGTGTGAAAGCACATTTACAAATGAGATGGAATGATACTTATTTCTATATTTAAACTTCACTAAAAAGAAAAACAAATTATCCCAGAGGGGAAAATTAAAATTTAAAAAAAGATTTTTAGAAGCTGTTAACTTATTATTATGCCACTGCATCTGCAAACAACTTCATTTCAGAGGTTTTGACATGCTTGTCAAATAAAACATAAAATAAGACAGGCATTTGTAGCAAGTAAAAACCTAAGACCAAATAGTGAACTCTTGACAAAAGGCAGTATAATATTATCAATCCGTTTATGCCCTTCATTTATTTTACTCTTCTGTTCTCCCCAGCACATTTTATTTTTAAACTCCTTATTTTTCTTAGTTTAATCATTTGGTCCATTCCATTGGAATAAGCATGATTATTATTTTATTATTATTTTATTTAAGATGGATGAGATTATTTGTTTCCAGGGCAACAACTTGTCCTGTGTTTGTGTGTGGTGGTGTCTGGTGTTCTGGTGTTTGTGTGTGTGTGTGTCTCACATACTACTAAGCCAAAAAAAAACCCTTGCGTAAACATGCAAAACTATGTGTTCACATACAATACAAGATTAAACCATGATTTATGTAGCATCATCTGTGTGGTCATACATAACAAAACTGTTTTATCTATCTGGTGAATAATGAAAGTTTATAACTATAAAAAATTGTCCTGAACCAAATACCAGTATCAGAAATGCCCTCTAATGTAGCTGTATAGGGTCTGTCCACGCAGTCTGTGTGCAAAGTCATGGCCCACCGAGTCTGTGGCTAGAAATGGCTGGCTCTAAAACAGGGTTGGCTAGAGTGGTGAGACTTTTTGAGTTAAACCCTCATGCTGTAGAAAAAATCAAAACACTGTGATATCTGAGGCTAAAAACCTCTTTGGAGTTTCGGAGTTTGTGATCCTCTGTGGGTTTATCAGTTCAAGTACCCCATTCCACTTTGAAATATTGATATTGTTAATTGTTAGATTAATTCAGCTTTAATGCAGGAGGAAAATGTTCTACGCATCAAAAAGGATGAGAAAGACAATGACAAATAGTTGAGCTATGGAGGATGAAATGGTGAAAAAGAAATTAGGTAAAAGGAGCTGAACATGTGAGGAGGAGGAGGAGGAGGAGGAGGACTCCTGGTTCACCTCCTGGGTTCCAGGAACTCCCTTGGTCTGCTTCCAATGATTGCCCCCGAGCCCCTTTGCCCCCCCAACCCTCTTTACCTCTGCAAATACTCCTTCAAGCCACCCCCAACCCTCCAACCCCAAATTTTCTGGCAAGTCGCCCCCATCACCGGTTCTTCCTCTCAACCACTCACCCCCTCCTTTCACCCTTTGGCATCCCATCCAAACTGCTGCCCTCTCAGCAAACATCTCCCCTCCTCCCCTTTCTGTCTTGCCCCCACTCCCCCCTGACTGCTGTAAATGCCCCCAGGACTGTGGTTCTTTCAGTTATTCACCTCTCCTACTCATACACACGTCTTTCTCCAATTCAAAGCTTGCAAACTCTCTCTCTCTCTCTCTCTCTCTCGCTCTCTATCCCCTCCTCTGGCTCTCTGGCTCTCTCTCCCCCTCTCCCCGGGAAGTAAAATATTCACAGCTGCTGCTGCGGTCAGGTCGCACGGCCACAAGACTCTCTGAGCAAACAGAGGAGCTGTGAACGTGTGAAGCCGATGGTGTACGTTTCATTTGAGGTCCGACACAGGTCCGATAGATCCTGATGTAGTCAAAACAGAAACCGCATACTGAGCCTCGCCACATGCCTCAACAAACCAAACACTAACCAAACATACCCAAGCACAACACTAAAAAATGACATTGGCAAACAGTTTTTAGAAACATGTTAGGCACACTGTAGAAATGGGAGAAATGATGCGTGGCTTGGTGCCGCTGAACAGACTAACTCAGATGTCATTGGGGTTGATAATCAGAGTGGAACATCTGTCTTGGATAAATGCCCCGCTTTTAAAGTCTGGCCTTGTTATGCATTATGGGTAAAAGGCAAGAGCACATTAAGTCATGTTAAAGTTGCAATAAAAATACATCAAGCTATTCCAAGAGGTCTACACATGATATATATGCAGACTTGATTCCAAGTTCCCTGAATGAACAAGTGGAGGAATTTGTCTTCAATATCGGAGTTTCGGTCCAGATTTCCATGTTCTAATAAGGACTTAAATGGGACGTTTTACATATTTAGATCTCTGAAGTTGTACCACCAAATAATAAAGACATCTTGGCTTAGGAATGCCAGCCCTTGAACTTTATGAGGGAGGGAGAAGGGAGGGGAAGGAGGAGGGGGATCAGTGTCTTGAACACATTTCAAAGTAATTGTACTTGATATGTAGTTTACAGAACACCCAAGTAATCATATAAACAAAGGACTAGGTGCCCTGGGAGGATGAAAGGAAATTTGAATCTCCCTCTGATGCATCATACTTACTCACGTTTTGACATGAGTGTTAGGCATTGAGGATTCCTGCGCACAAAAAGAGGATCTAGGACCTTTTTGTAATAAACACAGCGGGACAGACCAACTTTGGTGGATTCCATCATACTCGGAAATTAACTTTACTCACACACACACTCACACATACACACATACACACACAGAAACACACACTTCTCACCTGACCCAGGGCTGCCAGCAGTTTGTAATTCTGTTCATTGCATCCACATCACTCTTCAAACTCTCTGCCA